AGCAGTCACAGAGTAAGGCGGGAGATTCATAACGTTGAACAGTAACAGAAATACAAATTGACCAATCTGCACATTTGGGTCAACAGTGACAACTTTCTACTCCATACTAAATGTTTTCCTTTTTAAAAAAAAAACAACAGTAATTTTTCCTATGTGCATTCTAAATTAAGGAATGTAATCTATAAAGTCTTGCTTTCCTGCTAGATTATTGCTCATTGAGAGTGCTAACAACTCCAGAGCTGCCCACCATCTTGGCTTCATGACTGTATTAAGCTGGATGTTCTAATGTGATGTAAATATATAATTTCAGTGAGAATGTTTACATCTGGAGAACAATTTAATGATCTCTCCAGCAAATGAACATAGACTGTTGAAGAAGAAAGTAAGATTATAAATACAGATAGATAAAATAAACGAAAATCTTACATTACGAGAAAACAGAATTTGGTAAAAAAAAAAATACCCTACAGATTTAATTCTGCCTATAATTTAGAGCTTCATAGATTATTTAATTTGTATTTATGCATAGACGATTGAATTGGTATTTATGTTCAGTCTATTACAGAGAAAAGACAAATAACTGACTCCACAACTTGGTCTTGGGCATTATGTGCCAGAACTACAAGTAAATATAATTCAGGATTCTGCAATGTAGTAATAGTAGGTGGTGATGCAGCAAAATGGCTACCCAGAAAGCTATTTGGCATTGTTTCTCTTCTTCAAGCACTTCTGAAATACAAAAATCTTCTAAAAATGTGTTTTTGTAAAGGCACGGTAAAATGTTTAATTTAAAAATAAATGTTTAATTTAAAAATAAATATTAAAAAACCTAATTGTGGGGAGGGGATAGAGGAAGCCACAATTCTCCATTCTGTCTTCCTTACAGAAACTTAAGCTTCATTTGTGCTATTTCCTCCCAATTATAAATGCAATATAGTATTTTCCTCAAACTCTTATTTTTTTTTTAAATCATGGGAGAGTTACCACACCCAGATCAATACAAATGACTACCTAGTGCAAGACAAGAAAATGCAAAATGTGACCATATTTTAAGTCTGTATTCTGGTTGGAACAGGGTGAGGGAAATCAAAGGGAGGTATCAAGTTTATAATCAAACATTATTTCCTGAACCATGCAAAAATTAAATATATATATATATATATATATAAAATCCAGGAGGGAAAAATACCTCAAGAAAATGATTCTGCTCCCAGCAACAGCAAGTATCTTCCGGATATAAATCCAGGACTCTTTTTGTACGAGACAGAAATTAATAGCAATAGTACCACCGCATCTGAATATATTTCGCCAGCAACAAAATGGACAGGAGTCACCACTGAACTATATATTCTCCTGCTGTTAGCAGGAGTGAAAGTAATACATGCTGATACCAGAACATTTCTGATTAAGAACACAAGTTTTGGTATGATTTTTAAGATAGATTCCCTCCTTCCCACAACTAATTTTTGTTAATATCATTTAGTCTGTTAAAGAAATAGTAGATTCAAATTTAGATGCGTCACAATCACTAGCAAAAATGTACAGTTAAGAATTGGGTCCATCTGTTTGCCAAAATGGTCCAACAAAAAAATAAATAAAAATAGCAGTAGCTAGGACACATATTATATTTATTGCATGGTCTTGGTAAATCCACACTATGTAATCCTAATATGAAATAATAATCCCATTTTATAAGGAAGCCCTTTCATTTCAGGAAATACTTCATGGTTCTTATTAAAAAACAAACAGAAGTCTCAACATTCTTGTGACGCACATCTTATTATGCCCACTTTGTGGATGACTGAGAAAAGCAGAAACTGGCAAATTAGCTCAAGGTCACAAAGCTGAGCAAAGTACTAATGCCAAATCTTCTGGCTTCAGGACAGCACCAGAAGTCTCAAAACCACCTGCAGACAAGTTCTGTATAAGGCTGTGGTTCACTTGTATTGTTAACCTGAGACATAAATCAAATCTTTTTCCAATAGTAGAGCAAAAGTGATGCCTTTTCACTCACCATAGCTTCACTTTTCATATGTTAAAGTATCTTTATATGAGCAATTATTTATTAAAGCAGCAATGTTTAAGAACTGCATTTAGATTTACAAAAAAAAATATGGATATACACATACACAATCTCAACCCTTAATGCTTGGGTGAGAAAATGCACTTGTTTGGAGGAATCAAGAAAAATTATGTAGTATCAATCGTCCTCTACAAATCCAACTCACTCTAAAAATATTTAAGATATGCCATTACAGAGCATCATGTGTCAAGAAAAAGCAAATGAACACCCCCCCGTACCAATATATAATACCTAGTGGCTATATCTAAAATATGCAAGCTATGTTTGTTTAGATGGCGTCAGTCAAAATGAAAGTAACCCAACTTCTACCAATCTACTCACTTTTTTTTGTTCGTGACAGAAGAAGCAAAATCTCAGCCTGAGTGTATCCTATCACAGATGGACCTCTGGTTGCCCTCCTCTGCAGAATTAGCACCGCAGGATGCAAGACTGCCTCTGGAGGAGACAACTTTGCAGAGCAAGGACACTCAGTAGGGTGGAGAAACGAAAGGTGGTGCATTTCCAGTAGAAGAATTTCAAATTAAGCATAATACTTGATAACGGAGAAGAGTTAGTAAAAATGAAGTTATGTTTGAGAGAGTATCGGAGGAGGTAGGTATCTGTCAGATCTATCCGTCTTCTCCTTTCACGTATCATGTCCATTTTCAGATATGGCTTCCTGGTTATTTCTCCTTCCTTCTGAATAGCAGACTATGCTTATTCATTCTTCCGGGGCTATTAAAGCCTGCAAGCAATAAAATCTTGAAACAATACTTGAGAAGACAGGAGTACTCTAGAAGAATCAAGATGGCGAATCAAAATGTTATCTGATCTGATTCCAAAGCCAGAAAACTACTGCCGAACAACTGGCTGTACTTGACTCTCTCAATGCCAGTGAGTCACCCACACAGATTCTTATCGTTAAATCCTTTAGTTTACTGGAGCACTTCATGAGAACATGCCACAGGGAATAGTACCCTATGCTCTGTGATGATGCTTATTGCTTAGGATTTCATTGAAATTCCAAAAGAAAAAGAAGAAAAGAACATAGATTTCATCCTCCATAATAATTTTATATCTGGAATTGGCTTTGGGATAGGTCAGAAGGGAAAACACGGTTGATCTGAAATGATTAAAGAATCATGTCTACTTAGATGTGTACCATAAATGAAGGGTTTCCAGCACTGCCTACCTGATCTGGTTTATAGTTCACAACTGCCCAACTATCCTTCTATCATCTTAGAACTCACAATGATCTCATTTAAAAGCAAAATAAAATAAAAAAACAGAAAGTAAACTTTGTATTTCTTACCACTATATTCATCCAGCACTGACTTTCGATTCACAGTGTTGTAACCTAAGACACAGTTTTTCTACTAAGGTCTGTCCAGCATTTTACGGATACTCCTCTAACAAGCAATCTCTCTGTCCTCAAAAGAATTTATAACAGAAGAAAACTGCTTAGTCTAGTTAAGAGTTTTTTCACACAAAGACAGAGATAGACACCCACCAAAGTCTCTTTCTGTTGTCTCCTCTGAAAGCTATAATAATGTCACGTCACCGTGGCTTGTCTCACAGCAGCCGGAAATATGCCTGTCACTGATGCAACTCGAGTCACAGAATATTTGTTTTTCCTTCTGCGTCACTTGCACCAGTAATAAACTAAACTAATCTACAATAGACAAGCTCCTGCTTTTTGCTTTTCTCTTTAAAAACATTAGCTCTGAGAATACAGACACATTCCAAAGTGCTTGCTGTAAAGGAGAGGAGTGGGTGGGGAATAAAAGCAAATAGCCAACATTTTAAGTCACAAACTGTTCAGAACCCCTTTTAAAGCAATTGGAATGGAACATTTAGATTTGATATTCTGGCTCTAACCAATCTCAGATAGCATTTCACCTGCCACTGCTTCTCCCTCCAATGGAAATCAGTGTTTAGAATGAAAGCCCTCCCCAGCCAATCATGTGCAAGCTCAGGCACTCAGTTAATGATGCAGCAGTACAGGGAAGACTATCACATGTGAGCTGGAAGGCTGCCAACATGGAGACACGCAGAGAGAAAGGTAAACAACTTTCCGACGCCAAAATGATGACATTTAATTCTTAAATGCAATCTTCTCTTCTTAACTCACCCTCTGTCAGCTGGTCTGGGGCTTCACAATGTACCTGTCCCCTCTCCCTCCCCAAACCAATGCTTTCCAAACCTAACAACAAGCCAAGCAAAGATCCCTGCGTCATCATTTGTCCATTTGCCACTTTCTTAACTCTGCAGATACAGATTCTCGCTTTAAAGATCCAGAGTGTTTTGATAAATCCCTCTACCAACTTCTTGATTTAATAAGGAAACTGGAGAAGGGGGTGTTAGATGGTACCCTCTGCGAAGCTGCTGTTCTATTTCCCTTCCTCCTTTCTTGACTCTGCATTATAGCTAGCTATGCACTGACATTTTACAACTTGTGCCTTCATTCCATTGGTCTGATGCAGGACACAGAAACAACATTTAGCCATAGGAAAATAATACTGGATGAAAAGTTTGAGGGATGGGAGGGCAGAAAGATACCTCTAGCCACATACATACAAAGTGAGACACTCAGTTCAATTCACCCCCCCAACTCCGATAAAAAATAATACGTACGTATTTAATAGAGGAACCATGAGATCTGTTCATCTATACACCTGTGCAGTCCTCAACCCTCTGTTCGCTCTGCCGCAGCACAGAACATTCCAGAATTTTCCACCCATTAACCCTTCCTATATCTGCCCCCCCCACCTTTGCGGGATTAATTGCGTCGCATCTTTCCGGTACCATCAATGGACAAAATCCACTGATCCTCAACAAGTTCCCAAATAATGTTTCTTTAAAGGAAAAAAAAACATGCTGGACTGAAAAGGAACCATGCTTCCCAATGTTGTTATTACTTCTCTTGCATGATCTCTCTCTCTGTGTCTCTTGCTGCAGTAGGCTGTTGCTAGTAGACCTATCGACAGAGCTGGTTCTCACTCTCTCCCTCTGAGCTGTGTGACGCAGCTCAAAATTCTCCAGGCTGCTCCTTGTGTTTTAACAGCAGAACTGCAGCTTTCCCCTAGAGAGCCGATGCTAGCAGTACCAGGGCCAGACAAACTAAGACAGAAAGTCGCTCCCCAGTTAAGCACCCAAGTTATTTATATCTCCCTGTTCTCCCCTCACCTTGGCTTCTCTGCTTCATTTCCACTCTTCCCTCACGTTTTGCATCATCAGCTTCTCGTGGCTCTGCCACTGCTACACTTGCTCAGTTAACTCTTTTAGGAGTGGCAGTTACAGGTTCCACTCTTGAACAACAGAACTGGAAACAAAGTTGTTTGCTTTTGAGTGGGTGCAGGAGATATGACCCAAGCAAATACAACTGCGCTCAAAACAGAGGACACTTTCCAAGCAGCCATGCAATATCTGAATTAATCCCTTTAAAGGACAGAGAACACTCATCAGTTCCAAGAAAACAGTTGCTTTCCTCCGGGACTGGACACACTCTCCAGTAAGTGTTTCACTTTTTTGTCATATGAATGAGTACAGGTAGTCCTCGACTTATGACCACAACTGAGCCCAAAATTTATGTTGCCAAGTGAGACAGTTGTTAAATGCATTTTGCCTCATTTTATGACCTTTCTTACCACAGTAGTAAAGTGAATCACCACAGTTGTTAATGCCATGATTGTTAAGTAAATGCGGCTTTCCCATTGACTTTGCTTGGCAGAAGGTCGCAAAAGGTGATCACATGACCCCGGGGACACTGCAACCGTCATAAATATGAACCAGTTGCCAAGTGTCAGAATTTTGATCATGTGACCCTGGGGATGCTGCAACAGTCGTAAGTGTGAAAAATGGTCGTAAGTCACTTTTTTCAGTGCCATTATAACTTTGGTCACTAACAAATGGCTGTAAGTCAAGGACTATCTGAAGTTATGAATGTCAAGCCTTCCACTGTCCATTAAAAGAAGTGAGGGAACAGGATAAAATACCTTGGTTCAAGAAGGAGGCACAGATCAGACTTGGATTCATATATCTAAAGGCCCAAGTCACCAACAGTGGTATACTCAAGTGTTTTTGTTTGTTTCCTCTTTACCAGCTAATCCTTTGAGCTCTGCAGGACTAGGCAGCAGCAAAGGGGTTCCCTACAAAATGTTACTAAGGGTGTGGGCAACGTTCCCTGAACCTCGGGCAACGAATTAATCCCTTCTCTACCCCTGGTAAGTATGCTGGGAGGTTAAAGGCTTGCTCCAACAGTGAGAGAAAATAATTGGAAACATTAAGGGTAAGGAAGAAAATGATCAGCATGACAAAAGAACATAATTCAAAAATGAAAGGCAGCTTCCCTTAAAGCACGAGACTGTAGATGAAATAAAAATCTGGAGTGATCACCCTACACAGAAATATGCCAGCCTTAATTCTTGCACTGGAAGGCAATTCCTCATCCCCTTCTTTACTGAGCTATTTTAAAGTCCTTCCAGCCTGATAGTGACATCTGTTATGCACCGATGCATAGAAAAACAACTGCAAGCTTTCACATACAGTACTAAGCAATGCACCAAGATACCGAGTTTAGAATGCACAGGAAGGAAAAGGAAAGGACAGGCACTGAACAGAGAAACAGGCCAAGACACGACTGAACCTCCCAAGGACTCTCATAGAACTTCTTTGTAGCAGCATTTCTTCAGTCATTTCCTTTATTCATGCTCCAGAGTTTCAGTGAATCATCTTTAACTGAAATTCAAATGAAGCAGTGTCTATCCCTGCTGTGATGCCTAAATGGATCCAAATGAGAATGGGACTCCCATTTAAGTTGCTGGGAGTCCCCCCCCCTTTTTTTTTTTAGCCAAAACTAATTTTACAAAGCAACGAAACTGTAAATTATCAGTGAGTCAGCAAAACAGCAGAAAAGCAAATATTTTAATTCTCTGGAAAAAGGTAGATTGGTTTCCAAATCGTTTAATGAATAAAACTTTAAGAGTATAATCACAGAAAAAATAGCTTTTCCAAAGAATCACAACTTCCTAGAGTTGTCATCTGATGGCTAGTACACATCAGAAGATGTTTCGCCAAAACAAGAATAAAATAAAAAATAAAAAGTCTGCCATGCTTTCACATATCTGATGAATACAAACTGTTCCTAAAAGTGAAACATGCCCATATGTTTCTTAATTTATAACTAGAAAGCAACCTGTAATGGACAAATGATAGTGTAAAAAGCACAATGGTGTCTCCATGAGCTAAAACAAGAGAAGTGGCCAACAACAATATTGGTGAATAATATTTCCAAAAAGAAGACTGTACCATAATGACTACAGCCAGCCATGAGAGGTACAGTTGCCCCAGAAATGTGCATGAGTTTGTTGCTAAACCTAGAACCACATATGTCTCTATCACTATAACATTTCCACTGACTTGATAGTTAACCATTAAATTAGTACTGAGTAAGCCAGACATTGTTTATTACTGTTTGCCCCAGGAAGACTGAGAAATGGCAATGCAGACAGTTACAACTGTAACAGTTTTGTTTTGTTTTCCTGAGCAGAAACATTTGGGTACATTGTAAAAAGGCAATATCTTTCATACCCCCCCCCCTTTTTTTAGTGGAACAGAATCTTTATTTTTTTCCCCAGAATGGAAGCAAACGCATGAAAAACAGCAGTAGTCTAATATCCAAAGGGTCAACATTAGAGAAGGATGCCATGATTGAACTTAAAATGGGAAATAAATTATTGCTGCTTTTAAAAAGTCAGCAAGGATATACTGAAAGTGTGAAAGCTGCACCCTTAAAAATGGAAAATCTATCATCTTCCCCACTACTTGACAAGCACTGAAGTTATCGTAGTGTAACTCATTCAGTCATGGAAATCAGAACCTTAAGAAGGATGGAGAGCAAGAATAAATGCCACTGAAACTTGATTCTATGTAAAGAACAAAACTGGCATTACCAGAGGGTAAGCATAATTATCAAATCCCAACAGAAACAACTGCACACTGCTATAGAGCTTTCTGCCACATATCTTCTTTGAAACCAGGCATAGGAAACTCCCATTGTTTCATGGCATCTGGCTCTCTCAATGAAACATGAGATAATGATCTAAAGGCCATACTTGTGCATAACAATTCTTCCACCAGTAGCACCAGCACTTATTGTAATTCCTACAAAAGGCAGTCTAGGGATACAACGGAATACTAATTACTGTTTTACTTTTGGAAAAAAATAGCTGAAACTATAATTTATATAACCTGTGCAAATTCCTTGTACTGTAGTTTCAGAACTTGAAAATAACAAATCATTTCACAGCCCTTGTTTACCCTATAGCTGAAGATCAAACAATACCAAAGTATATGTAGCACCAAATAACTTCCTTCCTGGGAATAACTGAGGTGCAGTTATTGATGTACACAAAAAACCCTTTAACTCAATCTCTTAGCAAAGACGTTTAGTCATATCTAAACATAGTTCATATACAAGTATGCAAACCCAGAAAGCAATTCTATGCTCAATTTGTAAAGTTTCAATATTAAAAATATTCTACTGTACTTGCAGAGAATGTGTAACTTTAATTCTTCAGTTCATTCATGGGTTCATTTGCAAATTTTGATCTGTAAACCTGATTTGGTTTAGAATACAGCAAGATTATTTTCCCCCCAATAAGCATGTGAACTTGTGATGAAGTGGCTAGGATTCTGATGTAAAACCAGAGAGACTCATTCAGAGTCCATATTGAGTCACAGAAGCTCCCCAAACAACTTTTTAAAGTTTTCTAAAACCTCATAAAATAAAATAATAGTTATAATAAAGAAGGAAAAAGTCCTGTTGAATGATCTATGTAATAACTATAAAAAGTTATAAAGTGCAGTGCTTTGAGAATAGAAAGTAGAATGTTGCCTTAGTAAGACTTAAGTTTCAAAAAATTTGAATTTATTTTTAACAGTAAATTTGAAGCATTTTTAAACTTGTTATCTACTACCTAAAATTTATATGTTAAAGTTATCAAAGAATATAAAGATATTTTTTCAGTGAATAGACAACAGGTTTTATACTGCATAGCTGCAAAAATGCTTGCAAACTAATTTTAGGAAGTACAAGAAATTGCACATCCAGCAACAAACAGCAATAAAACTCAAGAGTGGAACTTAACAGCAGGCTTAAAATACAGAACACAAAGTCCTAGTAATGCTGAGACAATGCAGGATCATAAACCTTATAAGAAACAATTATGCAATCACATTTAAGAAATTAATTGTGGGTTTCAGAATTGTCCTTTGGCACCAAGGGAAGCTGCTGTCCTTAATTTAATTTTATATGTAAAATATATTCAATTGATAAATATGTTATGTTATAGTATGATAGCATCAGTCATGGGAACTATTTTAGGAAACTGTACAGAGTACAGATAATAATATTGAGTACCTTTACCTGCTCTACAGGTGAGTAAATGTCAAGAAGCTGCAAGTAGGAAAAAAGACAAGCTTCTGAACAGGAGAAACCAGTATTGTTCAAGATATTTCCATAAAGATTTGCTAAGAACAAAGAACACAGAGTGCCTCCTACCATGGAAGTTCACTTGACAATATAAGTGGAGGTAGTGGGGTTTGCACTGGTGGCACAGAAATAGCCATTCTCTGTTTGGCACCCTGCACTTCATGAGTCATGGAAGAAACGCATAAGAAAAAAAAGCTCTAGAGGCAAGCGTATATTGTATGTTAGGAACGTAAAGAAATGCAAGGTGGTTGTGTTGCTATTAACAATCTGAAGATTATATATAATTTATTCTTATACTGTTTATAGTTTGGTAAAGTGTAGTACAAACACAAGTATGTTTATTCAGATTCCAGTTTGAATGTGGCGTCTTGGGGTTATTCCCCAGTAAACATGGTCAGTTTTTTTTCCTAGCACAGAATGACAATTGCAAGAAACAAGAATTCAGAAAAAAAACATAGCATGCAGTGGGCTTCTATATCCCTTTTTTATCCTGTCATTGTGGGAGGAATTGATAATTCTTCATATCTGTCATATGAACATCCAACTATCTCTACAACATACAGAAGGAACTCTTGTTTTGAAATCCATTTTCTATTAGAAATGTAAGAGAAGTTAAATATATCATCAATTATTCACCTCAAGTAAACGAATATTCTCACATATACACATTTTTAAATACTGAATCCCCATATAGCATGTAAATGCACTGGGCAACTGACATAAATTAATCTTTTTTTAAAAAAAATCAGGTAAAATTAGAGAAAACAATGTTACCCAAAATCTGAGCAAAACCATTAGCCCAGTAAAATTTGCGCATCCCTGGATTAAAATGTTGAACTATCATAAAGGCAAAGATACATTTCGAATACTCTATCACAAAATAATCATTTTAATACCACTTGAATCAATAGATGGAACAGCACAGAACAGATTTGATATGAGTTCTGGTAACTTTGTCAGCAGCTTCAGAATCTACTGTAATAAAACTGCAAATGTCAAGACTCCTCAAATTCCCACTTTAAAGAATCCTTTTTGAGAAGCATCACTCTTCTTTCACTATTTGTTCGTTCACTATTCGTTTGTACACTATTCACCACTATTGCAAACTCTTCTTTCTCCTTCTTCTTTCCATTACTTACATGGAAAATCATGGGTCAGTTGTCTTCTGCAAAATATGCAAGAATATAAACAGTTTTTATCTACCTAATTGGAGCACTGAGATTTTTTTGTTCTATATAGATGAAAACATCAACATTAACAGATCACACCCAAGATATTACAGAAATAAGAATGTATCAAAGTTTGTTACACTCAATTCAACTTTCCAATACAAATATACTGTGAGATTCCTTAATATTCTGTTACTTAAAAGTGACATGAAAGTTTTTTAAAAGGGAGAGAAAGGAAGTTCAAAGGAAACAGGAAGTCCGTGCTGCAGCAGATAGAGTTAAGAGAGTTATGTAATCTCTTTACTGGGACATGGATAGGACAGCACACTGCTTGCTGATTAACTAAAAATAGAATAATCCCAATTACAGCAACACTTCAACTTTTTCCTAAGTTTCATGTTTCATGAGCTTACAGAGAACTCATGAATGGAGAGGGTGGGGAGAAAAAGACAGCAGACCAAACAACAAGAAACCTTTTTATTTTTCTTCTAACTTAGAGAACATAAATATCAATAAAATCTTCTTTTCTACTCTAATTTTCTGGGCTGTTGTATTTCAGATCTGAATAGGCTAAGTTCCAGATTATTTGCTTTAAGATCCTGACAATTATAACAATTAATCAGTGGAAAAATCTGCCTCCAGAAGGTGTGAATGCTCCAACACTGGAAGTTTTAAAGAAGAGAATGGACAGCCATTTGTCTGAAATGGTATAGGGTTTCCTGCCTGGGCAGGGGGTTGGACTAGATGACCTCCAAGGTTCCTTCCAACTTTATTATTATTGTTGTTGTTGTTATTTTATTTTTCTTCTAACTTAGAGAACATAAATATCAACAAAATCTTCTTTTCTACTCTAATTTTCTGGGCTGTTGTATTTCAGATCTGAATAGGCTAAGTTCCAGATTATTTGCTTTAAGATCCATCCTTTCCAATATGAACACAAAATGTAGTAGATAAATGAAAATCTGCTGTTTTGTTCAGTTTTACATTAATCACTTAAATGCAAAGAAAACAATAATTTGCCAATGGCCACTTTAAAAATTAACAGACTTGTAGAACGAATTCCAGATGCAGCCAGCGTATAAAACATGTTTAAACACCATACGTTTACAAACAAAAATTAGAAAACTAACAATGGTTGTTCTTATTCAGTGCATTGGAGGTTTGTGTAAACATCTTTCAGCCTAGCTTTATATACTTATATGTCTAGTTGCTGGAATTGGGTATGTCTAGTTTAATGAAGAGAAGGACGAGGGGTGACATGATAGCAGTTCCAATATCTCAGGGGTTGCCACAAGGAAGAGGGAGTCAAGCTATTCTCCAAAGCACCTGAAGACAGGACAAGAAGCAACAGATGGAAACTAACCAAAGAGAGAAGCAACCTAGAACTAAGGAGAAATTTCCTGACAATTATAACAATTAATCAGTGGAACAATCTGCCTCCAGAAGCTGTGAATGCTCCAACACTGGAAGTTTTAAAGAAGAGAATGGACAGCCATTTGTCTGAAATGGTATAGGGTTTCCTGCCTGGGCAGGGGGTTGGACTAGATGACCTCCAAGGTTCCTTCCAACTTTATTATTGTTGTTGTTGTTATTATTATTATTTCCTACATACATGAAACAAATCCATATAATATTTTCCTAAGAATAGGGGGGAAATGAAATAAAATAAAATGCATGCTCTGTCATAGTAATCATGGCTTTTTTAATGTTTAAAATGAAGCATGAATATTCAACCAATCATCCTTGCAGTTTTAGTTTTGAAGAACTGGCATCCTTCATATCCATATTTATAGAATGACACCTATGCAAAGTAAAAAAAGACTTGAGGAGAAAAATATATCCACACATATCCACACACATACATACTGTATCTTAATCACAATTAATCTTACGTATATATTCATATTCATATGTAATCAAATTATTAACATCTATCAATAAACATCAGGAAAAAATAGGAAATTAACATTTAACCCAATATATCACCCACATTTCTAAGTAGCCATCCCTTAGAAGTATTTCTGTTATAAAATATGTATACCAATGCAGAGAGATTTCACTACTTTTAAATTTGTATTTTGATTATGTGCCATCAAATTTTTGTTGACTCTTAATGTGAAACTAATGAACAAAATGCAACAGTTTTAAAATTTTCAACATAATTTTATAATTGATAAACATAGCAAAAATAGCAGCAAAGCGAAAAGAAAAATGATCTGAAAATTAAGTAATAAACAGAATTTCAAAACTTTGATCATGTTGCTGATAAGTCTTCTTACTTGCCCCTTTGTTGAAAAAAAGGCTGATTTAAATGTTGACAAAGAACATGTATCACATTACTGAACATGAAAGGATAATTGGGACATTTTTGTAAAAACTGAAATTGAATGAGAAATAGAAGCCATGATAAAATAACAATTTCATGACACTATATGGGAAAGATATTCAAGAGCAAATTTATATTATAAATGAAAGTTAAAACTTACCACTTAGCTCTTCTTGCATAATGGAAGAACAGCTCAGCTACTATGTACACAAGGCAACAGGACACCCCATCATTTTTGTCTGAGCCCTAATCATCTGTGTTGATCCCTATGTAGACTAGATCAGAAAATCACTTCTACAGGGAGGCTAAAACTAATTTTATTGAAATTAGTTTGATTGGGTTGTACATTACTTCCTCCTCTTTTTACACTCCAGTGAAACAGGGAGATCTCAGCCAGAGCTACTTTGAAGCATTGTTTAATTTCTTAGGCCTTAAAAAATTGTTTAAGCCCCTTTTGCCTAGAGTTAATGGTTCTTACATACTGTATTCCATCAAGATAATTTTCCATACTCTGTACAATGCAGCAAACTTCAGAGGAGGCATTTGTAAAATAGTAATTCCAGTCACTCCAACAATAAATAGTTTATCAGCATTTCATTTCCAGTCAGACCATTATTTGCCCAAAACAGGTAATAGAAGTTTTACAACAGTAGAAGGAAGGGATATGGCCTAACTAACCACATAGTGAATATACATCAGTACATTTCATTTTCCTATACAGACCCCGACTGAGTTCTGGTTAGGTCAATATAAACCATATAAACTTCCATGCTGAGCTATGTCTAATCCACCTACTACTGATTAAATTACTACTTTGCCATAATAATTGACCAGCAAATATGCATTACATCAGTGGTTCTCAACCTTTTTAATGCCGCGACCCCAATCGGTCATAAGTCGAGGACTAAACCGCTCGTAAGTCGAGGACTAAACCGATCGTAAGTCGAGGACTACCCAACCGGTCGTAAGTTGAGGACTTTCCCTGCCCGGGAGCGCCGCGCATGCGTGGTTCCGCCCCCTGCGCCGTCCGAGGCGTAGCTGGCAAGCAGCAGAGATGGAGCAGGCCGACCACCAGCTGGCCCAGCCCAAGGGAGGTAAGGCACCCGCCGGAAAAGGGGGAAAAAATGGCGGACAAAAAAATGGCGGACAGCCTTGCTTGGCGACCCCCATGAAATGATCGATCGACCCCAAATGGGTCCCGACCCACAGGTTGAGAACCACTGCATTACATCATACTTGGAAGCTGAAAAAAGGGAAGGCTATTTTTCACTTTACTCTTTATACTTTAAATTATATTTTGATTTTTTTCCCTAGTTTAAAATAGTTTTCACATGATATCAAATGTGTAGCAGAGACCTGTCAATGAGTTTCTTAGAAAAATTTGTTCAGTATTACTGAATAATTCAAATAATAGAGATGCAGCTCCCACTTTCTTCAGATCTGGAAAGCCCTTAAAACTTGGTTCTGTCTCCAGGCCTGGGTCAATATGGGTGTGATCAACTGGACAGCCATTTGTATGAATTGTATAGTTTTCTGCCTGAGTAGGGGATTGGACTAGATGACCTCCAAGGTCCCTTCCAACTTTGTTGTTATTATTATTGGGGTCCCAGTCATATTATTATTTCATACTCTCTATATTGTTATTCTAATTGTTTTAGTCTGGATGACCTATTTATGTGAGTTTGTTTTAATTTTTTTGTGGATTTTATAATCCACTTCTGGAGTGGATGGCCACATGAAATCAAATAAATTAAAATACATTACTTACTTACTTACTACTACTTTTATGCTGGTCAGAAGTCTCACTGAATGAGGAATGAGATTCAGAAGCACTTTAACCTGATCAACCTTTAAAGGATCCTTTAAAAGGTCCATTAATAACAAATGCTGGCTGATCAAAGTGGTAATTTTATTGTTGCAAAACCTAAGGGTAAACATTTACTTTCTATTTTTATACAAAACTTTCAGAAACTTGCTATTTTTGTCAAGAAGAACCCACTGTTGTCTTCTGGACAAAAGGAGAGCTCCCAATTAGAACCAGGAGATAAATAGATGCAGAGCTGATGAAATAATCATGCCCAATGAAACTATGGATGTCAATGATTCTGTGTCACATGGAAGGAAATGTCTAGAGCCAGACTGCAGGGCTCCCTGTGCTGCTCAATGTACTTATCAATGACTTGGATAAGGCCTTAGAACAGTGTTTCTCAACCTTGACAATTTTAAGGCATGTGGACTTCAACTCCCAGAATTCCACAGCCAGCATTGCTGGCTGTGGAATTCTGGGAGTTGAAGTCCACATGCCTTAAAATTGTCAAGGTTGAGAAACACTGCCTTAGAAAATACAGTTATCACATCTGCAGATTATTCAAGAAAAAGCTGGTGGCAATAACTTTAACAAATTGGAAGAACAGACAGAATAGACAGAAACCAGTGAGATGAATTTCACAGCAAGTCCTACAATTGTGAATAAAGAATCAAAGGCACCAGGGTGGATGTTTAAATAAGGGCTAGATGCTCATCCTTTACAAATACTACAGTACAGGTAGTCCTTGACTTACAACCATTTGTTTAGTGACTGTTTAAAAGTTACAACAGCACTGAAAAAATGACTTATGACCATTTTGTGCCATCCCCATGATCACATGATCAAAATTCAGATGCTTGTGGTGTCCTGGGATATATAATCACTTTTTGCAACATTCTGACAAACAAAATCAATGGGAAAGCCAGATTCACTTAATAACCATGTTAATAACTTAACAACTGTAGTGATTCACTTAACAGCCATGGCAAGAGAAATTGTAAAATGGGGCGAAACTCAGTTAGCAACTGTCTTAACAACAGAAATTTTAGGCTCAATTGTGGTCATATGTTGAGGACTACATGTATGGATTTCTGTCCTGGGCAGACAGCCGGACTAGGTGATCTTCTGGTTCCTTCCAAATCTACACTGCCACTGAAGATCACTTTATAATCATATATAAATTGTAATTGTAAGGACCCACTTCAATCCCACATCTTAAAAAAGCAGAACTCTTGGGAACAATTTCTTCCAACAGGAACTTTTATTAAGAGTAGTTGATAGCAGGCATAATAGACAGGATCTGAGGGATTCTTTACAGATCGATACTTTAAAGGGTCCCTAAGCAAACTCCAGCCTATAATTCATCCGGATGGTTCAGACCGGCCAATCCCCAGGTGGTTAGTCCATCGTGGGAAAGGGAAGATATCATCAGTCCGTCTCCATTTGTAGTACGATGTACCACAGCTCTTCACACCTCCTTTTGG